TGTTCACTATGCAGTTACCCTTGTTGATAAGGTGTGTCCCTTCCTCCCAACACCTATGATTCTTAGGTTTAGATATTTTACACAGTCCCACATTTCTTGTAGACTTTGTTTTATTTTCTCGATTCTTTTTTCTTTATTTTTGTCTGACTGGGTTAATTCAAAAGCCTTGTCTCCAAGTTCTGAGATCCTTTCTTCTGCTTGTACTAATCTACTGTTAAAAATTTCCACTAAATTTTGTACTTTCCTAAATGCTTCTTTTCTTTCCAGAATTTCAGCTTATTTTAAAAATTATTATTTTCCCTTTTTTTTTTTTTTGAGTTGGAGTCACTCTGTTACCCAGAATGGAGTGCAGTGGCCGCTCCTGGCCACCGCAGCCTCGACCTGCTGGGCCCCAGCGACCCTTCTGTCTCAGCCTTCCAAGTAGCTGGAACTACAGGCACGCGCTACCACGCCTGGCTGATTTTGATTTATTGTAGAGATGAGGTCTCGCCAAGTTGCCCAGGTGGGTCTTGAACCCGCGGGCTTAGGCAATCTACTCACCTCAGCCTCCCAAAGCATGGGATTACAGGCTGAGCCACCGAGCCCGGCTCCCCCTTTTTTTTTTTTGAGTTGGAGTCTCACTCTGTCATCCAGGCTGGAACCCAGTGGTGCACGCTCATGGCCACCGCCGCCTAGACGTGCTAGGCTCACGTGACCCTTCCATCTCAGCCTTCCAAGTAGTTGGAATAACATGCATGCATCACCATTCCTGGCTAATTTTTTGATTTATCATAGAGACAAGGTCTCACCAAGTTGCCCAGACTGGTCTTGAACCCCTGGACTTAGGCAGTCCTCTCACCTCTGCTTCCCAAAGTGCTGGGATTACAGGCATGAGCCACCACGCATGGCTTTTGTTTTTAAGGTGCCTATCTCTTTGGGGAGACTTTCATTCATGTCCTGAATAGCTTTTTAATTTTTTTTAAACTTTGTTTTGAATTTTTTCCTGAAGCTCATTGGGCAATTTATAATCAAACTTTTGAATTCTATATCTGGAATTTCAAAGATTTCACTTTTGTTAGGATCCATTGCTGAAGGGTTAGTGTGGTCTTGAAGGTTATTGGAGAACTCTGTTTTTTTCATATTGTCAGAATTTTTTTTCTGGTTCCTTCTCATTTGGGTAGATAATTTATTCCTTTTTTTTTTTTTTTTTTTTTTGAGTTGGAGTCTCACTCGGTGGCCCAAACTGGAATGCTATGTTAGCCTTTCTAAATCGCAATCCCTTTTTCCAATAAAATAGAGATAAACACCAGCACAACTCCTGACTCAAAAATGATAAACGAAGGTTAAAACAATTCTGTAATAGGAAATTACGATGGGCCTCAGAACTACCAGGCAACTGCTCCCCACCCCCACAGAGGTCCTTATGTCAACCATTTGATGACATCCCTAATAGTT